ACAGCATTTGAATTGAAAGATTAAAAGAAATTGCTAGAATATTTGTACTGTATCCTTATTATTTGGATTATGTTTATCGGCAGTGGAGCCCACCCGATGGGTTTTCACGGTAGCTACTAATTGGATTACATGTGGCTCACCACTTCATAAATTACAAACAATACAACAAAACAATTTTGTTAATAACACATTAACACACATTGAAAAGATTATATGTACATAAGATTACATATAGAATAAAACTGAAAGAGCTGTACATTCCCTTTAAAAAGACATCCCATGGAAGCAAATTTTAAATAATGTCAGGCAAGAAACTACTTTAACGCATACAAAGAATAATGGGTGAAGTGAGTGCAATCAACTAATGCAACCAAACAGAAATCAACTCTCTGATTACGCTCCACCAGTAGTGAATATCTGACTGGTTGTAGTGGGCTATGCGCTGTTTGTACTATGTTATTAAATAAAACCTAGAATGTGCCGTTGTTCAGGTTCAGGACCAGCAATAGCCTACAGCATGCATAATTCATAATACTATCCCCTCTTGAGTGACCTCTCTCTCAGGATTTATGGGATGCCTATTATACAGTAATGTGCTGTGTTCGGCTCACTTAATCCCCACAGTGTTGTTCATCACGTATTTAAGACAAATGGGAAATGCAACCAAGAAGCAAATTTGGCCATATTGAGAATTTGCCAGGGGAATTTTACAGTAACTAACTTTGTGTACATGACAAGTTTCCATTACCTAGGAATTCTTCTGTTTTCCTACATATATATATGCACACTGGTGCAATGCTAGGTTGGTGCGCATCTATTATTTTAATTGGGCTATTGAATAAAAAAAATAATAAAATTTAAAAAAAATGCGGAAAGGCCAAATGGCCCCTTATCTATTAACCTACGGTACATGTGCACTTGAAAGCATTGTCAACAATGGCATCATTTACGTATCTTTTTTATGACATAAACACACACACAAGTATTAAAATTCACATACATGCATTTTCTACACACACATATATAAATATATATATATATGTATATATATACACACACATTCACAAATGTGCACACATAGTGTATAGGTACACAACTATCTTCGTAGCTGCTGTTTTCTTGTAGCTGGATGGAAAACAGCAGCACTGACTAATTCCTGTGTCCCTGGATTACGCGGCACAAGTCAATGGTGCACGTTCTATTCTTCTCACCCCCTATTAATTTCAGCAGGACTGCCAACTGGAATCTAATGGTCCACCTGCTCCACATGAAGAAAAGATAGAGTGACAAATGCCAATTATATTGGTTTTCTGTTGTCACAATGGGGTTTCCTTCCAGCCCCCTAGGTACATAAAAATGACATGTATCTATGTACATTTTGTCTTGATGACTTTGAAGTCATTCTGTATTCTACAGACATTTCCCAGGGCAGTCTCGTCTACAACAAACATGGAATCTATATTCCAGCAACATGTTGCAGATAGATCAGCAAAAAAACACAACAAAAAAAAGAGCTCTTTTCGAATTAATATCTTTGTTTCCAACAAATGACAAAAAAAACCCACATTGGTTTACTTCGAAAAAACCCCCCATAAAGGCGGACAGAGGAAGCTGCTTCAAAAACCCAGAGAATGATCTCCATTCAAGGCTGCAAAGATGAAATAAGCACACGTGAAATAACAAATTAAACTGCAGGTTAGACTACATGATTGATCCCTTTGGACTATCACCAGTGCTATTGTGCAGCAAGTAGGACTCATAGTAAGTTTAATAAAACACACATATATTATAATAAGCTAGATAACTGAACTTCTAATAATAATAATTATTACTACTCTAGATAATAACAATAGTAGAGATCAATTTTGTGCAGATTACATTTACAAGAACCAATTTTTTTATTTTAGTTATCATTTTTTTATTTTTAATGACCTTCTGCTGTACTGAATACAAAGAGAAATAAAAATGAGTATCGATAATAATAATCAAAATGTAATTTAAACCTCCCAAAAGTAGGAAGGGATTATCTAAAGTGTGAGACGCTTGTTAAACGATAGAGCACACCAGAAATTCTATTAAAACCGGCTACAACAGCGCATCAATAGACACCAAGGGGAATTTGGAAGGACAATTGAAAGCACTTAGCCCTCTGTAATCCTAAATAAATAAGGGTGTTATTTGTTCCATGTGAGTGTCAGTTAATGAAAGCTCAGATCACAGAAAGGGATATATAATAAGGCTTAATAATTACCTGCATGGACGCTGTGGATCCATATTCTAAAGTCTTCAGGAATTCATTGACAATCCCTTCCGATATGCAGCTGCTGTGAGCCAGGCAGAAGGGCGCAGGGGGGGCTAGCAATGAGAAGAGGTACAGGGAGGTGGAAGAGGGAAGCAAGGTAGGAGGCAGGTCAGGCATCCAGGTCTGTTTGGGTACCAGATATGAGGGATGCTGCAGGAAAGCCAGTTCCTAGAAGGGGTGTGTGCATGAAACAGGCATACAGCTCCACTGCATCTTCACTCTCGTCTCATATCTGCAGGCTGGGAAGGGGGGTCTGGCTAAGCTTATGGGCTGCACGCTCAGGACCCTTGGGCATCCCCTTCCTTGTCAAAGAGCATCCCATCAGGGATCGATAGGCTATGAGAGGAAGAGCTTGTGCTCACTCCATAGTGCTTTGGGGAAGAAAAGAGACAGCTGCTGTGAGCATGCGTGCCAATGGATCTGCACCCTTTCTAATCAAGGCTGGTGCTCAGACCAGGTGGTGCACTGCAGGGGGATTGTTACCACCAGGAGATCATCAATGTGGCTTCAGTGAAGTTGTTGTTTTGGTATTTATTTTAACCAACAGCCACTGGACATTTTTCAGCCAAAAAAATGTTCTGATGCCGTTAACCCTTGCTGCTCTCAGCCTAATTAATTACACGTGGGTTTGATAGAAAATATGGAACGTATGCTTATAATAAGGCAGTCCAAAGAGCACAGACCTTTTTCAGTGTGCAAAAAAAGCTCACATAGACTTGCTATGGGGGGGGGGGGAGCGTTAGAAATAAGTGGTTGAACTGCGTTTTTAGCACCCCCTCAACTGCAGTGGAGAGGGGTGTTTACATGACGCGGTTGTAATACTTTGCGTCAGCTGCAAAAACTATTGCTCCTTTCACATTCAGCAAGCCATAAGCCCAACAAATGCGCTCAAACACCCCACCCACAACCATGTGCAATGCATACAGTTTCAGTGTGTTGGTGCAGCAATTGTGAGATTAAAACAGGCAGTGAGGTTTCACACTGCCTCCTTACTGTCTGTCAAATGGCTCTGAAAGGCAATCCAAACACAGATCCCTTTTAGAAGCTCAGCGGTTTAGATGCAAACTGGTTGATGGAAAGCAGCGAGCTTCTACTTTGCTGGAGTTAGGCTGGCCATACACTATACAATTTTCTGTCCAATTTCTGCCCAATTTCCTTTAGATTTACTTCAAATATGTAGTGCAGGAGCCTGCCTAATTGGATACAATTGAAAGTGTTGTCAGTTTTGACCTCCTATTGCATGGTATTTGTTAAATCTAAACCACAAATCTCAAGAAAATTGCAAAATGTATGGCCAGCCTTAGTGAAAGATAGAATGGGGGGGTGGGAATTACTAAAATTGGAGCAGCCAGAATCTGGAGCAGCTGTTCATAGTAACCAATCGGCTTCTATGTTCAGATTGTTCAGTTAGGCTTGGTTCATAATTGTGCGGGTGCAGGAATGTATGTAAATTGCATGCATTCACACACCCGCAGCAAAAATATGCTGCTGTTTAGCAGACACGCGGGGGTGCCATTAATTCCTAATGACACCCCCATACAATGGAAACTGCAGTACATTTTCCCATGATGGATACACATACCACTATGCAGATTGGGATTTTAGAAAATGTGCAGGGACCTTTTCCCAGTGTTTCCCACAGGTACAGCAGCCCATTCAAATGAATGGCTGCTGTGCCCACACAAATGCAGTACAAGGAAATTGCATAGATGTGAACCAAGCCTTAAGCTTTGAAAATGAAATGGAAGCTGGGTGGTTGCCATGCACAGCTGCTCCCAAATGTTTCCCATTGTAGTTGCTGTTAGTTACTACCAAGGGCATTACTGTGGAGGGATGTTTCTTACACTGTATCATCTCACCATACAGACATATGCTAGACCAATGTGGACCAATGTAACTATGCATATACCATACCTGTGAGATCCTTCTAGAATGGCCTTTTTCAACCATGTACCTTCAGGTTTCTTCAGGGGTGCCTTGGCAAAATGCCTATGAATTGCTAAAAAATTGTATACAAGCCAGCGGGTGGATCAAACCTGCCTTTTAGTTTTTCAACCCATAGGGAAGAAAAATATATTTTAAATATATTTTAAAAATATTCTTCCCAAATATATTGACATATATTTGAAATACTAAAATTTTGGCCGTATTCAATATATTTAAAAAAAAAAAAAAATATATATATATATATATATATATATATATATATACACATATAAATATATATATATATATATATATTATTATTTATACAGAATATATTTAAAAAAGATATATTTTTTTAAATATTTTTCATATACATTGTAATGTATAAAAAATGCATTTCAACATACAGTATATATATATATATATATATATATATATATATATATATATATATATCTATATATAAATATATATATAAATTTTTAAATATATTGAATACGGGCAACATTGTAGTATTTTAAATATATGTCAATAAATTTGGGAAGAATATTTTTAAAATATATTTAATTGCCATATAAGGTAATGACGGGCGCAAGGCAGTTCTCTTGTTCTGGGAGGACGTCATATGACGTCCTCCCATTCTAACCGCGCATGTGCGACTCCGGGGGCGCGCAGCGTGGCGATCGGTGGTGCGCTGTGTCCTTCAGACACAGCGGATCACTGATCAACGGAAAGAGCTGAAGATGTCGGTTTGGTTATGTGATCAGCTGTGTCCAATCACATCTGATCGCATGTAAATAGGGAAATGCCGGTTATCGGCATTTCTCTCCTCATGAGCTGTCATGCTGACAGCTTGTGAGGAGTAGAGAGCTGGTAATCGGCATCCCTCAGAGGGGACATGAACACTGATCATCAGGGCACTGATCAGTATGCTCTGATGATCAGTGTAGCCCCAGCAGTGCCACCTGTCATTGTCCATCAGTGCTACCTGTCATTGTCCATCAGTGCCAGCTGTCAGTGCTCATCCATGCCACCATGCCAGTGCCCATCAGAGCCACATCAATGCCACATATCAGTGCCTACTAGTGCACATCAATGCCACATATCAGTACGCATCTGAGCTGCCTTTCAGTGTCACCTATCAGTTCCAGTCAGTGCCACCTATCAATGCTACCAATCAGTGCCGCCTATCAGTGCCAGTCAGTGCTGCCTATCAGTGCCAGTCAGTGCCGCCAATCAGTGTGCAACAGTGCCGCCTATTAGTGCCCGTCAGTGCTGCCTATCAGTGCTGCCTAACAGTGCGAGTCAGTGCCACCTAACAGCGCCAGTCAGTGCTGCCTATCAGTGCCAGTCAGTGCCGCCTATCAGTGCCACATATCAGTGTCGCCTATCAGCACAATATATGAGTGCTGCCTTTCAGTGCCCATCAGTGATGCCTGCCAATGCCCATCATTGCCACCTACCAGTTCCTCCTCATCAGTGCTCATCAGTGCCACCTATCAGTGTCCATCAGTGCAGCTTATCAGTGCCCATCACTGCAGCCTCATTAGTGCACATAAGTGAAGGAGAAAAATCACTTATTTACAAAATTTTATAACAAAAACTAAGAAAAAAAATTTTTTTTTCCAAAATTTTCAGTGGTTTTTGGTTTATTTAGCAAAAAATAAAAAACCCAGATGTGATTAAATACCACCAAAAGAAAGCTCTATCTGTCTCAAAAAAATTATAAAAATTTCATATGGGTTACAGTGTTGCATCACCGCGCAAGAAGGGGGTATAAGTGCCCTGTAGGCAAGTGGTTAACATATATTTTTCTTCCATGTGGGAAAGAAGAGGTTTTCATTGTGCAGCATTACAGCATTGTAGCCTCTGGCACCCTAAAAACCAATGATATCATCGGTTGATTAGAAGGATGTTAAGCGCCTGCACAGCATCTTTGTTTGACTTTCCCCTGCCCCTCTCCATTAGCACTGGGGTCATGTTAGCTCAGTGAGGGAGAAAAACTGGGGAGAAGAGAAACACTGGAATATTAGCCAATACCAGTGTGTAAAGGTGTATTTGCTTTGTTAGAATAAATCACCTCTAACCTTGGGTGTCCTAGGTGTGTGGATGATGTTGTATTAAGCTATTCATTTTGTTTTTTACATTTTAGAATGGGGTGCCTCGAGATTCAGCAGGATTTTAAAGGGTGCCTTGACTGAAAAAAAGTTGAGAAACATTGCTCTAGAAGCTAGAAAACTCTCTAGTAGACACTGCTACTCCAGCTTCTTATCACGTACCTGGTGCTGGAAGCCAATGGTGAGAGGGCTTCCTTTGCGGCTAGGTAACAGTCTCCCCTGAAGGTGGAACAGGAGGAGTGAAGTTCAAAGAAGCACGGGTCGCCTGCTGGAGATGCAGTGATGTTCTGATAGTAATGTTCTCAGAGGAGAGGTCCAGGTATACAGCTGAGACAGTACAATGGTGTCTGCAGACATTTGGCCCCTGTGGGTAATAGCAGGTCTCAGGCAAAGCAGAGATCTGTAGAGAAGCTGGTTAAAAGCTGAGTTCAGGTACCTGGTGTGCACAAGAGCAAGCATAGTTAGAAGGATAGGCATGGTCATATGCAGGAGATGAGAGAAAAAGTCTGTTAAACAAGCTGGACAGATCAGGAGGCATGCAGAAGACAGGTCCAGAGGCAAGCCGAGTCAGTAAGTGTCCACAGATGCAAGTGTTTCACAGAAACAAATGCACTGGAGAGGTGAAGATCAAGCAGAGATCATAGAGGATGACTGGCTTCCTTATAAAGGCTGTTTGGCGCCAATCTGGGGTTACAGCATGCATGGCTGTGTGCCGGCACACATCCGTTGTGCGCTAGTGCACATTCTTGCGGCCATGTAAAGTATTGACAGCAATGCCAGGTCTTCATGCACCTCTACTAAGGACAGTACCCTGACACTTCTAGAGAGATCCCACAGGTATGGTATATGCATAGTTGTCTAGCTATGTAAAATTTTCCTTCCTGTAAAGGCCATGTAAAGTATTGACAGCAATGCCAGGTCTTCATGCACCTCTACTAAGGACAGTACCCTGACACTTCTAGAGAGATCCCACAGGTATGGTATATGCATAGTTGTCTAGCTATGTAAAATTTTCCTTCCTGGTACTCTTTGGGTGCATATTTTGGAGAGACAACCTCTCACTTACTGCTGTTCTTTTTTTTAGGACAGGAAGTGGAAGAAAATCTCCCCACTTAGAAACAGGGGTTCCAATAATTCCCTACTTCAAAATAAAAAAGACGATGTGCTTTAGATCTAGTTGAACAAAATACCTTGGCATGTGGCGTGACTGCCAGGGTCCAGGCAAGAAGCCTTGTTACCACACTTTGCTGTTTGCTTAGTATATAATGCAGTCCATGGTGCCTAAAAAAATCCCAGTCCATAAGTTGTAAATTTTTTGATTAGTATATAATGCAGGTGACAAGGGTGACAAGTATGATTGCCAGACTGAAATAGACAGCATTGCTTGCAGAGAACTGAAATTCAGTGGGATTAGAAGCAATATTTATAGGGAGACAGAGGAGATGAAACGTTGATCTGTGAATTAAAATTAGAGAGCCAAGAGAAGGCATGTCCATGAAATGGAGAATGAGTCATTGATCAGTACACGTAGTAGAGAGGACCACAGATAAAAGGGATGGAAGGACTGGGGGCAGACAAGAGGTCGTGCTAACCAGAAGCTTTAATGGACACTGTGCATATACAAGAAAGCCAAGAGAAGCACGCTGAACTGCTGCTGACATGGGATGTGAGAGAATAATGCAAGAAATCACTGCAAAAGGAAGAATTCCACTCCACGGGGGAGAAAGAAACTTTCACACGGATAAAATAAAAGCTTAGGAGCAGATTGCTGAAATATTGGCAGGCAGAACAGTCCTAGCTAAGTGGGGGGAATACAGAATGGCAAAAGTTAGAGCTGGAGCTGAAAAATGACAACAAAAGAAAAGGATGTGTCAGGAGAGATGGCAGAAAGGATAGATGGAGACAAGCTCCGGAGATGCTGTGTAAGACACAGTAGAATGTAGACAATTAAAGAGGGAAGATGTCAGAGACACACATAATAGATGGAGCTCAAGGTGATAGGTGTGTACAGTCAAGGCAGAATAACTGACTAGATTGGAAAAGGAAAAAAGTGGGCTGCGATAAAATCACACTATGCAATGCTGGTCCGTCTCCAGCTAAAACTTGATTTGGCATACCTTCCAAATGTCCTTCAATTGGAACATAATCCCACTGTCCCTCTTTGCTTCTCAGCTTTCCCTTGCTTTGGACCAATGTGTAGGCCTCTATAATAAATGCAAGACCTTAAGTGGTTCTAAAGTCAAAATAGTTTTTTACCTTAAAGAATTCCCTGCCTGCCATACTTATCATACCACCCTATCCCTAAAATCATACTTGCCTACTCTCACGGTCCAGAGATGTCCCATCTGCAGCACCATTCTCCTCTCGTCCTGATCTCACAGGGGACACAAGCAGCAGTGGGAGCCATAGCTTCCTGTGGCTTCCAGCCAAACTTCTGTAAGAAGGGAGCTGGGAAGTGGCTTACCAGCACTATGTCTGTTTATGGATGCACACATCATGGATCAGGAACGTGCACGCACGGATGCCCCACCGCACACAGCTTGCTAAAGGGGCACTCAGAAGAAGAAGTAGCAGACAGCACCAACACGGGACCACCAAGGAGGTAAGGGATAGCTATGTGCAATATTGTTGCAGAGAGCAAGTAAGTATATTATCCTTTTTATTTTAAGTCAAAAAACATTTTACCTTTAGTATCACATTAACTACCAAAAGTATCACTAACTACCAAAAGTGTTACACTTCACTAAACTAAAAGTCACTAAAAGTCCTCATGCACACTAGACGGTTTTACAGCTGCTGTTTTTGGCTTTTGACATTTTTTTCTACAGCCAGTAAACCCCCCAGCATGTTATCCTATGTGTTCATGCACACATAGACTGTAATCATTGTTTTTTGGCAGAAACACCTTCTTGGCTGGAAATAAAACCCGGGACTAGTGGGTTTCTAGAGGAGTTCTAACGCTGAAAAACACAGCAAAACATCGTAAAATGCAGCAAACCGACGTTTTTGGACTTTTTTGTGCTGCAAAAAAATACTAACAGCGCAAATGTGAAAAAATGTGGCAAAACGCCACTAAATGCTGATGCAAAAAAGCTGAAAAACTCATGTTTTTAACATGACTTTACACAGTTAACGTTACCAGTGGTATTAAAATGTGGTAAAACACGGCAAACCGGCATTTTTGGACTTTTTTGTGCAAAAAAATGCTAACAACGAAAACATGAAAAAATGCGCAAAACGCCACTAAATGCTAATGCAAAAAAGCTGAAAAACTCACGTTTTTAACATGACTTTACACAGTTAACGTTACCAGCGTTATTAAAACGCTCAGTGTGCATGGAGCCTTAACCTTTTGCATAAACCTTTTATTATCACATCATAAAAATCAGTATGAAGGAACACTAGTGATCAAAAAAAGCACTTTTAGGTTTAGCCAATCTATTTTTTTTTAAGACTTCTTCATGGCCTACATGGCTGGGGTGTGGCAGGGATTGTGTCCTTTGACTACACACTTTATGCTCAGGGTGTCCTTCTTTCCCACCTCAGAAAGTTGGGAGGTATGGGAAAATGTTAGAACTCCTAACAGTTTTGATTTCTTTCTGCTGCAGTGTTGAGAAGATTTTCCCAAGGTATCATTAGGACAGAAAATAAAATTAACTGTCCAGTATAGAAATATACAAAAATGAAAGCACATTATTTTTAGCAGTTCAGTAGGTAAAGGATTCTTATTGCTGTCTATATCCTTGTTGAAGATTTCCTATCACTACTCGGGAGTTAGGACCTGATGACGTTGCAATATTATGATGAAACATGTTGGGCTGTAACTTCCAGTGACATCACATCCAATGCCTGGTGGAAAGCGGCCATTTTGGATGAGGTGTGACATATGTACAAGACTATCGATAAGGTTTATTGTGTAAGTGCAACTTTTTAAAAGTTTTTATGGTTTCATAAATGGTGCTTTCACTATATGGAGTCCTTTTTTCTTCGCTAACTCATGCCAATAGTTGAGAATATGGTCAGATCATCATATACTACCAGTGTGGAAGTTGTGCAGGCTATTTAAAGAGGAGGAGAGCTGCAGAGCAACAGGGATGGGTGTATAGAGCATAAAACATAGCAGTATGACAAGTGCAATACTGCTCACACAGAGTGGTTATTAGAAAATCCAAGCGGAGTAATATGATAAGTATTAACAAACAAGTTTTATTCGATCACATGGATCATACTGAGGTTAGATAGAAACATGGTAAACAAGTCTTTATAAAATCACTGAATTAAAAGCATTCGGAGTCTTCAGATCTAATAGTATTCGGCAATCAGGAATCCACATAAGGCAATGAAGTTCCTAACTACTAGATCAAAAGGTTTCCATATTTTCCATATAATATCTGCATGAGGGGAACATTCTTCAAAAAATGTTTTGGTGACCACCACAGTGAATAGAATGACCTCCTAAAGATGGAAAACCAGAAAAAAA